TGAAAACGAAGGATGAACAACAATAATATTGAGATACAAGGGGCCTATAGATCATACAATGTTCAGGCTGCAGAGGAACTGAGAATGCAGAATATTGGAGCAGAGGCCATAGAATGTTGAAGCTGGAAGGACCCTGAAAGATTATCCAGACCAACTTTCTCATTTTACGGATAAAGTAGGTCCCTTTTAAACAAAACTAGAAGTATGGGAAGAAGCCTGTTGGTTTGGATATACAGAAGGTACTCAGTAGGTTTGATGAATGACTGAATGCTAAACTTGCATTTTTTGTTTTGTTTTCTATTGTTGTTTCTTGTTTGTTTGTTTTTGTTTTGTTTTTTGCCAGGCAATGGGGTTAAATGACTTGCACAGCTAGTAAGTGTTATGTGTCTGAGGCCGGATTTGAACTCACGTCCTCCTGACTCCAGGGCCAGTGCTCTATCCACTGCACCACCTAGCTGCCCATAGACTTGCATTTCTACTGACTAAATGTAAACTAAAGAAAGACTACCAGGACAAACAGTAGAATTACAGTTTAATTGCTTGACCTAATAGCCACTGATAAGAGATAGATCAGTCCTAGAAGAGAATGCTGATAATTAAAGAGGGAGATGAAAAGAGATCATCTCCCCAAACACCTGTCCCATGACAGATCAAATCCTAGAATCTTTTATCATGAATTCTTTGGAATGACTTGGACAGTTATTTACAATCTCAATGGGTCCCAGTCTTCTTACCTATACAATCAGCGATTCCAGGGGTGAGCTGGAGTCAGCTCAAATCAGCTCAGGAGAATCAATGCTGCAAATCAAGGCTTGGTTTATTGTTTTGTTGGGTGTCTCAATTTAAGAAAGTGATTGAGAAAATGGTAATAACGAAGCTTACACTTAAAGATGTGTCCAATGTACATTCCCACCCCCCAAAGAGCCAGTTGTTACACACTTATCAGACCACCCCTGCCTCTAGGCCCCCTTCCCACTTGGAAGCCATGATCCTACTTATAAATTTATAAATAGAATTTGATTTTTTAAATGTCCTTAATTTTTGTCACAACTGCAGCCCTGATGACAGGCTAGATGTTCTTGTCATCAGGTAAGGGATATCCAACTGAGAACTAGGAGAAATAATTTCAAACTATTCTAGCAAGTGGGCCAGTCATGTAGTAAAAGAGAGAGATAGCCAATGAATAGTCTGCATGCTTCAATGGTATCCATGCAATGTCAAGAAATCCAAAGGATAGTCCCCAGCACAATTGAGGACTTGGAGGAGGGTTGCACAGGATGAGAAGGCATAGATGGATCAAATGCACCACATTGGAGGGAAAGGCCATATCAATGAAATTATAGATCCATTGTGGATTACAGGAAATAGAGCTGAAAGTTATATCTAGTCCAGTCCTGTCATTTTACAAAAGGAGGAAATTGAGGTTTGTTGTTGTTCAGTTGTGTCTGACTCTTTGTGACCCCACTTTGGGTTTTCTTGGCAAAGACACTAGAGTGGTTTGCCATTTCTTTCTCCAGCTCATTTTACAGATGAGGAAACTGAGGCAAACAGAGTTAAGTGACTTGCTCGGGGACACACAGCTAGTAAGTATGTGAGGCTGGATTTGAATTCAGGTCTTCCTTACTCCAGAACTGGTATGTAGCCATTGTGCCATCTGGCTGCCCCAACAGGAAGTTCAGTGACTTACTCAAGGTCACACAAGTAGTAAGCATCAGAAGTAGAATTTGAACTCAGGTCTTCTGATCCTTGAGGCAGCACTTTTTATGTTCTCTGTTTAGAGAAGTTATTTTTGATAGGGTTACATATTTGTCTTGAGCTGGAAATTCCCTTAAAAGACTGGGTGCTTACAAATGCTTATTAAATATTCCCCTTTCTTTCCAGATTAAAAAAAAAATCCCTTCCCAAACTTCCTACTCTTCCCATCCTCCCATAAAATCCCGATCAAATGGAGCTGAAAGCTGCTGAACTTTAAGGAATTTGTTCTTTCTTCATTTTTTGCCAGTTTATGAGAAGCTGGTGAAAACTCCAGAAGAAAAGAAACTGTCAACATTATTAGTAAAAAGAACAAAGCTGTGACATTTCTTGGACTTTGTGTCCTCCTCAACATTAAGCAGATATTGGAAGAATGCATTTACTTTTCTTTCTTTTTTAACTTATTACTTATTTTTAACACTCATTTTAAAAAGTTTTGAATTCCAAATTATCTCCCTTCCTCTCACCCTTCCCTCATCCATCAAGAAGACAAGAAATGTGATATCAATTATACATATGGAATTATGCAAAACATATTTCCATATTAGCCACGCTGCCAAAAAAAAAAAAAAAAAGAAAGTGAAAAAACTTTGCTTCGATCTGCATTCAGACTCCATTGATTGTTTCTCTCGAGGTGGGTAGCTTTTTTCATCATACATCATACAAACATATCTTGGATCATTGTATCAATCAGAGTAGTTGTCATTTACACAGCTGATCATCATAGAATATTGCTGTTACTTTGTACAATGTTCTCTTAGTTCTGCTCACTTCCTTTGTTATCAGTTCATGTAAGTCTTTCCAGGTTTTTCTGTAACTATACTGTTCATCATTTCTTATAGCACAATAATATTCCGTCACAATCATATACCACAACTTGTTCAGCCATTGTCCAACTGATGGGCATCTCCCCAATTTCCAGTTCTTTGCCACCACAAAAAGAGCTGCTATAAATATTTTTGTACATATAGGTCCTTTTCTTTTCTTAAATCTCTTTGTGTTACAGACCTAGTAGTGGAGAAGAATGAATTTTCAAAGAAGGAACAAAAGAACATCCCTCCTAGTACAATAAATACAATTTTGGCCAATTGGAATTTGTCTGGTTGATATAATTTTATATTGACTATCAGTAATTTCTGCTGTTGCTGAGCAAAGCTTAATTCTTATTACCTTCATAGTTGTCTGACAGTTTAAAGTTTTTTTCCCAAATTGATATCAACTTTTCTACTCTTTCCCATGTTAGTTTATTTCCTGATTTGGGCATGAGTATTTATAAACAAAGAACAAATTCTTTAACTTGAACAAGATGGGAGAAAATAAAATGGGAGAGAAGTAAAAGGAAACTGAAATTGTTAGGTGAAATAGGTACATGCTTCTTAGAATCCCTGACTTAGACACACACACACACACCCCCATTGTACGTCATAGGATATTTTATAGAAAATACTTCGTCTTACATAGGAATCACTTCCAGGCAATAAGGAATGAGTAGCAAAATGTGAAAATAGGTTCATAATCATTTAGAACTGCAAAGGTCCTTAGGGGTCACTTAGTCCAGACTTCTCAATTTATAAGTGAGGAAACTGAGGCCCCATGAGTTTAAGGGGACTTGCCCAAAGTCACATAGGTGGTAAGTAGCAGAGCTGGGATTTGTACCCAGTTCCTCTGACTCCAAGTCCAAAGTTCTTTCCATTGTATGGAATCTTAACATAAACATTTTATTCATTGTAAAAAATAATCATCCAAAATAACCCATTTGCACAGGAAGATCTGAGTTCAAGTCACAACTCTGACCCATGCTAGTAAGTCAATTAACTTCTCATTGTCATTACAGAGAAAGTGTCCATCTGAATTGGCAGAGGAAGTTTTCTTCACCAATGAATCAAAGGTCTGGTAAAAACACAGAAAACTCTCAGAAAAACAGCTATTAAATTTTCTTCCCTTATGTTTCCTAGGCCATCACATAGTCCAAGAGGGAAAGGGCAGAGAAGGGAAATATTTATATAGTGCCTACTCATTTTCCTCATCTGTAAAATGAGCTGGAGAAGGAAATGGCAAACTACTTGAGTATCTTCACCAAGAAAACCCCAAATGGGGTCACAAAGAGTGAGAAACAACTGAAACAACTAAACAACAACACACACCAAGCATTGTGTTAAGTGCTTTTTACAAAACAACCCTTCGAGGTAGGTGCTATTATTATGCCCATCTTATAGCTGAGGAAACTGAGGCACAAAGGATAAGTGACTTGCCCAAGGTCACACAGCTAAAGTCTCTGAGGACTGGTCTTCCTGACTTTGTTGCCCACATTATGCACTGTATATGGACTCATTTAATTGGCTTGCTGTTGTTGTTTAAGTCCTCAGGACACTTGGGCTCTTCATTTTTAGTCGATGGCTTTTGATCTGTAATATCGTGGGAGACAGAAAAGGCAAAGTTCTCCTGTAATGACTTCTGTAACCTTTTCCTTACCTCCTCACCATGAATAAGCACCAATCCTCAAACTCTGAGGTCTAAGTCCAGCCTTCTGTTCCCTCCCCTCAATTTCTGGTCCTCCTTGACCCAGATAAGAAACCTATAAAAACCCATGGCATTTTACTGGTACCCCCTTTCCCTGAGAACTCCAGTGGGACCTCACCTGTGTCCATTCACCCTGACTGCTCCTTCTTCTTGCGGGTATTTCCCTTCAATAGAGCTGGCTTGCTGGACTCCCGGCTGACTATCATCTTGTGCTGTGCTTTAGGTTGTGGTACACTGCCCTTCCTTGTACCACACCTTGGAACATGAGTAGAACCTCACATAGACACTACATTAAAACATGAGCCCCTCCTCCATATTTTAAAATCAAACCTGACTCAGCTCAGGCTCCTCCTTCTATTTGTTCTGTGGACTCCTTCAATGCAGGAACTGATTTTTTTTTTTGCCTTTCTTTATATTTTCAGCATTTAGTATAGCATCTAGCACATAGTAGGCTCTTAATAAATGCCAGTTAATTGACTGATTGACCACTTCAAGGCTTTCCTGGTCTCAGCTACCAGTGCCTTCCCTTAATTTTGAATGTTTTTCTTCATATAGTTATATATGTACATGTTATCTCACTCAATAGAATGTAAGGCCCTTAAGGGTAAAGACAGTTCTATTTATGTCTTTTTAACCCCACAGTTTGGCATAGAGTAGGCACTAAATAAATGCTTCTTGAATGATTAAATGAAAACTTAATTTCTTTTTCCTTGCTCAGGACACCTATTTCTTTCTAAGCAAACTGCTGGAATAAGAAGTGGGAAAACCACCACTGATTGACATTTGAAAGAGACAGACGAGGGATCTTCCACACATTTTCAGGTAACAAAAAATCTTTCTTGGGGTAGGAGGGGAGGCAATAGGGAGTGTTATAAATGACACATGGGTAAGTCTGATCACAAACTTTTCTTGCTCTTTCCTAAGAGGAGAGCTTCGAAGGGTTAAGGATTTGGATCGTGAACTCCTTCAAGTCAGGATCTGAATTTTCTTCCCCTGCAGCTCTCAACACCCTGTACCATGAAGCTTGATACCCACCTTGCTTTGGCTTGGGGAGGAAGAGCTCTGAAGCCACTCATCAACAGAAAGGGAAAGATGAGAGGAGATATAAATCTCTGGAATAGGCTTACAGGAGAAGCTAGACCAGCCTCAGTGGAAGACTTCACTTGGGCATATTTCATCAGGGTGGGTCTTGCCCTTCCACAGTTTGTGTGAGTCTTGTCCCTGTTTCCCCATAAACTTCCTTGTGCCAGGGGTTGATCAGGCATACCCTGAGTCACTTTATTGGTTACCAGTGACTGAGTCTGTCTCCAGGATGATTGGGGACTGAGAGTCAGAGAGGACAGACTCTTATAGGCAAGCTGAGACTTACTCTTACTTTGTCTCTTCCTCTATCTCTGTCTCTCCTACTCTCCCACTACCACAACTATGGTCTTTTAAAAACAAAGTACAGAAGAGAAACGAGGGAATTTTTCTCCTTCCTGCTCCACTCCTTGAGGAGCAGAAGCATTTTGACAAACAGCCTATACTTGCCCAGGTGACCTAAAAGTGCCATTCTGTTGCATTTTTGTGAACACAGGTCAGCCACTAAAGTTCCTGAGAACAGTCTTTCCATGAAAGTTGGAGAAGTCCCAAGAGATAAGAGTTCCTGATTATTCCAGTCTCTGCCTTCTAGAGGGAGAAGAGGATCCTCTCAGGCAACTGAAAGACTAAAGCCGTGTCATAATGGGGCAAGACATATGCCCTGGCTAACTTGGGTATTATTATGAGTCCCATGGATGATGGAGATTTAATGTGAAGGGAGAACTGTTTGCTCAACAGCTTCACAAAGTCTGACTACCTTCAAGGATTAGGGGGAGAGAATCTAGTAAATTTTAAAGGGTTATGTCAATGTTTTCTATTTCGGTATTTGTTTATGGCCTTCTAAGAGTCCTCTGAGTCATGTGTTTTCTTCAGGTAGTGAAATTAAGGATGACCCTTACTTCATACCAATGTTGTATATTAAGTACTTACGCAGGTCTTACAGACTCTATTACCCACTTTTGGGGAAAACTAGTCGCAAGCTAGACCTAACCTTTTATTCCCTAGAATTTCTGAGGTAGAAACAAGAGCTACAGAACAGAGGTGACCATTGAGGTCAGCACATAGGCTTGAACCTGCCCTTGCGGGGGGGGGGGGGCTTTGGGTTTACTTTGATATATTGAAAGCTCTGTGATTTCAACCATGAGTACTTTCCTTTCACACCATTTCAACCTATGTAAGTCTTATATCTTTTCCCCCATAAATCCCCCTTAGAGGAAATGCCTAACATGCAAGATGGAGGACTTCTGGCTCTTTTAGTATCTTGGGAATACCATTGCACCACTTAAGTTTGTCTCATTCTTGACATATGACCATGTCTCAGAAAACAAAAATATTTTTAAAATCACTACAATTTTAGCTCTGCTACCCTAGGTAGCAGAGGCAACATTAGGGAAAATGAATGGGCATTATTGACCAAGAGGAACAGGAAGATAAGTAAACATGGCAGCAGTATGGGGCAATGGAAATTGGAGCTACAGGACCTGGGTTCCAATGCCAGCTCTATTATTTACAATATGTATGACTTTGGACAAGTCACTTTGCCTCTAAGGTCCTCAGTTTGCTCATGTGCAAAATGAGGGGGGAGCACTAGACAACCTTTCTTTCTAGTTCCAAATTTATTACACTAACACCTGAGTTTGGGTCCCTCCTTTGATATATGCTGACCATTCAGTGGGAGGAGGATGACTATACCCTGTTCTCTGGGTGTGGCTCTTGAAACAAGGGGTTGTAAAAAGAGATGATCCATCCGATCAGCCTACGAGGATACTAACAAAATCGTATTGATATGTCCAGGACTTGTTTGTAAGGGACCTTCCCCTCAGCCCAAATTTAGGGTATCTCTGAAAGTCCCCATACCACCTGGTAGTCCTGAGTCATTCTCAAGGAACTCCTTTGATATGTGCCCCTAAGGCAAAGACAGAAGTTCCTCCAAGTCTTGGGTCAATCATAACTGTAGGACTATGAGGCCATATTCCCACATCAAAACGGTGTGGATAACAGGAGCCAAATGACTATCATACCAGGGAACAGCTCCCACCCCAAACAAGCTCATGGGCCACCCACTTCTCATAGGGGGTTTTGGTGGGCAGACCACCAAAGGAAAAAGTATAACTGCTTGAGTGAAGGTAAGTGGAAAGCTTTTTTCTGAGTTTTAGTTTTGGTGGCCATTCAGGGTGAATGTATTTTGGACATTATGAGCCCTTAAGAGTCAGAACCAGTAGAAGTATTTCCATTAATCTCTATACTGAAGGCAGCTAGGTGGATAGAGCACTGGCCCTGGAGTCAGGAGGACGCAAGTACAAATTCTGCCTCAGACGCTTACTAGCTGTGTGACCCTAGGCAAGTCACTTAACACCGATTGCCTAAAAAAAGTATTTATGCTAGTCATTGTAGGTAGGGTCAAATAAAAACCCTTATACCTATACCTGAGCCATTTCATATTTAATTAGCATCAAATAATACCATGTTCTGGATGAGTGAAAGATATTTTCTCCTTAGTGATGAGGTTGGGGATGGAGGAGGCTGGAATACTTTCCTACATTAAATTCCCTTATAATAACCCCACATGGCTGATAAAGAAAGCAGATGTCACCTGGAAGCTTATAGTAGATTATAGGTAGCTGAATGAAGTTCTTATGTTCATCATTGCTGTGGCCTTTCCCGTCCTCACTTACATGGAAGATCAGGCAGGCAGGGCCCAGGTGATTGGTAAGGAATCATTAGTCTCAAAAGTAGCTTTTTCTTCTTCCTTGTCATGAGCTTTCACCTGGAAAGTCTCAGCTCCCTTCATCATGCTGGGTCACCGGACCATCTGCCAGAATCCGTGGGCACAGACCTGAAAGAAGTTTCCCTTCCTGAGCTAGAGATGTCTACTGCTACATTGATAATGTAACATTGATGCAACCAGTGGAGGCCACGGAGGCAGAAGCTCAAAACCGGATGATATTTCATATGAGGGACTAGGGGTGAGAAATCAATCCTAAGAAAATCCAGAATCCACCTTGCTCAGTCAAGTTTTGGGGAATACAGTGGGTGGGGAAAACCCAGATGATTCTGAACAAAGCCAATAACTTGGATACTGAGATCTGCTTCCCTACAGCCTTACAAAGCTTGAAGGCTCATTGAAGACTCTGGGTTCTTGTTCCTTATTCCTCACCTGGGTATCCTGATGGCTCTCATTTATTGGGTCACTTGCAAAGCTACCTCTTTCAGGTGAGGCCTAGGGCAAGCTATAGCCTGGAAGACCTGAAGCAGGACCTCCAGCAATCTTTTCTCCTGGGCCCTCATGACTCCATGGGGCCCATGCTTTTGGAGGTCTCTATGCATAAAGACCAGGCTGAGCAGAGCCTTTGGCAGGCACCAAGGGGTAGCCAGGTCAAATGACCAATGGACTTCTGGAGCCACAAGCTTTCCAGATAGTCACTCCCTACACCATTTTTGAAAAGCTGCTCACCTATTACCTGCTCCTGTTTGCTACTGGACAAACAATGCAAAATCATATGCTGTCCTTTATCCAGAGTGGTCTGTTACGAGTCTTTTTCTTTTTTAATTTTTTGGCAATTGGGATTAAGTGACTTGCCTGGCGTCACACAGCTAGTACGTGTCAAGTATTTGATCTGAGGCCAGATTTGAACTCAGGTTCTCCCGACTTCAGGGCCGGTGCTCTATCCACTACGTCACCTACCTGCCCCCACGAGCTGAGTCTTGCAAGATGCACCTTCTAACAAGTTAGGTGTGGTACAGGAGGCTTCCATTGTTAAATGAAAATGGTACATTCAAGTATTGATTGCCTGGGGTCCACAGATATTAGTGCCATTCATGAAGAGGTTGCTATCTTGCCAGAGGTTGAAGCCTCCAATCTCAGCTCTGATGTCTTACCTTCTCAGTTAGTCCTCAAATATGAGGACTTGGCTCTTGAAGAATGCCATTTTGCCTGGTTCATCTGTGAGAGGTGTCTATTAAGCTGATAATGGGGGAAGGGTGTACTCTGACGGATGGAGGTCCTGCAAGTTGTGCCAGTGGACTGAACTTTGAGCTACATAACTGGTATTTGAGAGAGCTTTGAGGGATGACATGGATAAGAGCTCCATTTATCCTATTCCTGGGTGGCACAAAAAAGAACAGGATTGGATAATTCACAGCACTCTCTTTTGAGGCCAGCAATAATGAATTTTATCACTCTCCCATCACACAATTATTTGTAAGACGTATCAGTGCTATCAGAGACATCATACGTGGTTTGCTGAATTGAACAATCAGGTTGATGAGTTTAGACATAATCCCAATTGACCTCTTCCCTCCCCTGCCCCATCCCTTCCTTATTCTGTTCCCTATATGGAATAGCATGGATCTCTGAGGTTCCTGTCCCCTTAAAGGGCTCCATAAGCCAGGGAAATGGCTTGGATTCCCCCTTAATTTGTAAGCCTACTTTTCTTTCTTTCTTTTTTTTTTTTTTGGTCTAGGCAATGGGGTTAAGTGACTTGCCCAGGGTCACACAGCTAGTAAATGTTATGTGTCTGAGGCTGGATTTGGACTCAGGTCCTCCTGAATCCAGGGCCGGTGCTCTATCCACTGCACCACTAGCTACCCCATAAGCCTCCTTTTCTCCAGGATGATTTGGATATCTCCTCCCAAGAAAGAGCTTGGGGGACTGTAGGCCATAAAATTCCAATCTGCAGCAAAAGTCCGAAAACTCCAAGCATGATTAATCAATTTATTAGGGAGTTCAGGGATCCTTAATTAATTAGGTCCAAGATCTTCCTCACAATCGGGGACCCTTTCCCTTGAGTGCTAGCTACTTATACACACTTGGGAGAGCATTAAAAATAAGAGGCATTACAGTTCACTGATGGGTCCATTCCAGAAGTGGGGAAGTCTTATAGTTGGCTAGAGGAAAATGTCCATCAATCATAACCACTTTGTCAACAGACCTTTAACAGGTCATGAGACCTTCCACAGGTCATCAACTTCAGGTCATCTCAGCAGGGACTTTCCAAAGCCTTCCACAAGTCATAAGACCATAGTGTTTGACCAATAGTCTCCTAAGGTCTAAGGAAGTTGTGGGTGTGAAGCAAACATCACAAAAGAGTGGACAGTAGTGATTCATAGGAGTGAGGGGTATTGCACCAGCAAATGAACCTTATTACAACATATTACAGACTAGGGTTGGGGGGAGGTAATGCAGCTAATTACATTCTTAGTACATTTCTTTCTTTCTTTCTTTCTTTTTGCTTTTTGGTGAAGCAATCGGGGTTAAATGACTTGTCCAGGGTCACACAGCTAGTAAGTGTCAAGTATCTGAGGCCACATTTGAACTCAGGTCCTCCTGACTCCAAGACCGGAGCTCTATCAACTGCGCCACCTAGCTGCCCTTCTTATTAAATTTCTAACTAACAATATGAATCAAGCTGATAAATATAATCATCAATACATGGTGAATTATACATAACTCTTATCTTAACAGCATTAATATACATAATTTAAACTTACTCCTATTCTACTTAATTCACTAATATAATCACCGATACTCATCAAATCACAATAAACTGAAAATACTGATTAATTTGACAGGCAGCTAGGTGTCACAGTGGATAGAGCACCGGCCGTGGAGTCGGGAAGACGTGAGTTCAAATCCAGCCTCAGACACGTATCACTCACTAGCTGTGTGACTCTGGGCAAGTCACTTAACCCCAATTGCCCTCACCCAAAAAAAAATACTGATTAATTTGAGTAGGGCATATCAAAATTATTGTCATGGGACCACAAGTTTGGAATTTGGTGGGGAGGGGGTGGTGTGGTGGTAGTGGAGAGGAGAAGATTATGTCTTATTTTCTAACGAGATGGGGGAGATGAAAGACTCTTAGCAAAACTATAGTGAATGTCACTTTACCTGGAAGGGCTGTTCCTTTGCCAACTTGGTAGCAAACTTGAATCCATAGTGGAAGGTAAGGGGATGTCTTTATACAGCCCCTGT